CTCGGGTCATACTTCAAATACCTTCTGTACACTCTCAAAGAGGTCTCGATCGGAACACCCTTCTGCGAAACGAAAACCAGATAATACTCCCAAATCCGGTCATGCTGGGTAACGGGCAACGCGCACAACGCACGATCGAACGTGTGCCGTGTCTTGGTAACGAGCTTCTGCTGAGTCAGCACCTGGAGGTACATTATCCAAATCCGGGGCATCTTGTGCATAGTGGCCAAAGCTCGCTCGAAGGTGTTGTTCAGCGCCTGGTACTGCTGGTGGGAGATGGGCAAGTTCCTAACAATCTCGAGACGCTCGCGGAGGTAGGCGTGCCAAAGCTTGTAGCTTCCGGGCAAAGCTTTGACGGCGCGCTCGTAGATAATTGATCTCTTTTTGAACGGAGATCCACTTCGGGCGATTAGGTAACGCCACCACAGCTTGAAGCTATTAGGGTTCCGAAGAACTTCCTCTTCGTAGAGGAAATCTTCTTCACTCGGATATAAATCTTCCGGAATTGATGACATGGTTGATTGCGAGAGGAGGGAATTTAGAATTTGGAATTAGAGACTAAACAAGAGAGGGAGTTCGTCGTCGCCGCCGCCACGCCGCCGCCGCCGGTTCCAATTCGTTTCCGAAACCCCTGATTACGGCTTTAAAATCCAACTCAAGCTCCACGAATCAAAAATCACCGTTCTCGAATTACTGGTGGCGCTAATATTGGACGACTGTCGGATCTAATCGACGATTCGGAGGGTTTAATTTGGGGATTTGGGGATTTGGGGGATTGAATAAGAGAAGGGAGAAAGCCCTAATTTTATACTGGTTAGCGTAGGAGGGTTTGCATAAGGATTATTTCATTATTGTCTATTTTTTCAGAAAACTGTTTTATTTTGAATTGTAAAAATAAAAATAAATTAAAATCTTGAAAATTTGCATCCCAACCCCTAGAATGTTTTTTTTTACTTATTTGCCTCTCATCTTTTCACAATCGGAACTTTCGGAGAAATTCCAAAAAAGTTATATTGAATTTCGATTTAAAAAAAAAAAGAATAATGTGAAAGATCGGAGTCGAAATTTTGGAAATTGGATTGAATTTTTTTTATTATAAAACCGAACAAAATCGGATCGAAATTGGCTGACCCAAACCCTCCTATCTATCATAAAAGTTGGAAATTGGAAATCTTAATTTTGAAATTCAAAATGAAAAATATCGCACATTCTAAAATTAGAAATTCCGGTCATAATCAGCGGGATTCGGAAATCTCGTTCGAATTTCCACTATAGTCACTAATGATCTCTTTTGGTCTATATTTTTTGTCGGAAATTTCGATTTACGGTCCAATTTTGATATCCAAAAATAATTTCGATGATTCTGATTTTTTCAGAACTATTTTGTTGTTTAGATCTTGCCTTGGTTAGACCCAATGTCGATTAAATTCCAATGAATTTCATTAGTTTTCCCGAAATTGTTCCATTTTCCACAATTACATAAGTCGTAGGAGTACAACTTTTGAAATCTTTGGAATTAGAACCGATTTAGAAGCGATTTTTGCATCTCGAAAATTGTGGAATTGAAATTAGAAGTATTGTGTGATTCCCAAAAGTTGGAATTTCCCGGAAAGACTTGTTTCTGTTCTGTTCCATCCGACTTACAGCAAGTGTTCACCACATTTACCATTTAATAAATGCAGAAACTAATATTTATTGTATTTTCCCCTTTTCATTTATCTATTTATTTTCTCTCAAAGGGAACTTATCTATGCATGGAAAAAGCCACCTAATAATTCTTTAAATATGGGACCTAAAATAAAATAAAAAATATATATCCACTTATGGCTAGATTAAACCTCTTCTTCTGCTCCATCTATATGCTGCTTTATGTTCATCTTTGTCGGGTAAAATTCAGAATCGAAGTCGAAATTCGAATGAGTTCTAATCGAGTCGAACTAAACAAACATAATTAATTATATTTAACACGTATGATATATTTATATATAGGGGGAGATGTACCGTACATGGTGCGTGGCAAAGCCAAGAGGTACAATCAACAACTTGCACTTAAACGATTACGTAAGATCCACTTGTCGAAAGGATCCGAATAGTTGTTGGATCATCCAACGCGGGGGGCTATGTTTCGATTCAAATGCGGATATGGTAACGAGTACCCGGTCACAAGCATCTTTTCTTCTTCACAAAAAATATGGTCAAACGAAAATATGCAATAAAGAGCTTGGACAAATAATCACCCATTATCCTCGTAAGTTATTTTATTTTTTTCGATGTGATTTACTTATTTATTGAATTGAAAATAATTAATATTCGGGGCTGAATTGAAATTAATTATATGATTAAAAATATTTTATTGACAATTTTTTTTTTAATCTCATTTAATTTAATTTGTTTGCAGCCAAATCAACCATTGGACGAATACATTTCAGCTTTATTTGCTTCGCACCAGTCCAGAAGAAATTCCTTGCCAATTGAAATTAGTAATTGGAAAAAAAAAATGAATTTGCAGATATATATATATATATATATATATATATATGATTCGATCTTTGCCCCTCCTCTATTTTCGTATTTGCAATAACATTTTAATTTAAAATTAAAATTTAAGAATAAAACAAATGATTAGTTTGAGTTCAATATATTAGTGATATTACAATTTGTAATTCTGAAATGATAAATAAATGACGACGGTTAGTAAATGTAAGTCATTTATTAATTTTAATTTTAATCTCTATTATACCATTTGTCATGTTCTAAATTCCTAAAGTTAAATTTGGAGAAATCATCTATATTGAAAATTGGAACTTATATTGTCTTCATAGAGTTATAATTGATTGAATTTGTTGCATTAAGAAACAAAATTTCACCAAAAAAACTGACAAATTTAATGTCGATCGGTCGTGCTAAAATGCGTTAAAAACTTATAGAAAATTGTTTGAAGAGAATAAGATGGGATAGATATTAGATTTTAGAATTTTAAGTAGTGGTGTCTATATTTACTAAATCTCTTCGTGTGATATTCTCCTAAAATAATATCGTTGAAAACTTTTGAATTTTTTTTTTAATAAAATAAGATACAATATATATTAATTTTTGAATTTTAATTCACTAAAAGTTGTAATGCAATTATCACCGCCCTAAATACCTTCAAACTTTTTTCTCATACACTAACTCACAACAATTCTGTAGTGCTCAACTTTTAATTAATAATCTCAAATTCTCTCACAATTACTAATATTTTTTTCTCATCCTTCAATTTGTATATTACATAATTCAAACTATTAATTATTGATGTACAGTTAAACCTCTATAAATTAATACAGTCGGAACTAGAAAAACTTTATTAATTTAGCGAATTATTAATTAATTATCGAGTTAATAATTTAACACATTTGCATCGAGTCGGAAACGAAAAAAACTATTATTTAATCGATGTTATTAATTTATCGAGATTGTACTGTATTTTCTATAATTGTATACTCCTACATTAATTCTTAATTTCAAATTGTATATCATTCAAGTTATAATATAAATGTTATGAAAAAGAGAAATTGGAGCAAGGAACAAATAAATGTTATTATTTATATATTATATAAATAATAGTAATTAAAAAAAGAATCACATATAGAGCCGAGGGCAAAGAATGACAAGACGGCAGCTCCGACGAGGGACCCGACGGCCGGCAGGGTTCCGATGGCATGGCTGATCGGAACGTATGAAGGACCTGGAGCTCCAGCGATGGTGTTGCTGGTGGTGGTGTCAGCCACGGCGGCGCTCATGGAGGCAGCGGCGGCAATTAGGGCGGCGCATGCGATCTTCTTCATTTCCGTGGTGGTGGAATTTGAAGAGAAAAAATAATATCCGGCGAGAATTGAAACGGCCGGAGGTGGGCTGAGAGAAATTATCACCGGCCGGAGGTTCCGCCTTGCTAGGGTTTTTATGGCGGTGGTTATTCTATTTTTATTTTTTAGAAAGTGTTGGTTCACTTCTGTAGTTACGGGGTATGGGTATTCAAATATGATAATTATAGTTTTAGGTAAAATTATCTAATTTTGAAAATTCACCACTCAAAAATTACAAAATTAATTTCATATTAAAGTTGAATATTGCACAATTCTACTAGGAAAAAATAATAATTTTGGTAGCAAAATATCAAAAATATACTCTAATAGGAAACGAAGAATTTCATCTCTTTCATATATCGTGTGCAATTTGATGAATGTGGTCGTAATTTACGAATTTAGGTGGTCCTTGCAAAATAAATTGAGAGTCGTGTATTTCAATTGCATCCCATTACAATGTTTTGTTTTAAAATTGTTTTTCATAATTCTTAACTAATATTTCATAAATTACTAAGTTATTAATTAATGTATGAATTAATAACTATTAATTTATCGATAAATTAATAGGATTTTGATAGTCTCAATTGTACTAATTCAGGGATCATTAACCGTACAATTAAATATCTATATATTAATACAATCGAACTAACAAAATTCTATTAATTTAGCAAATTATTAAATTAACGAATTAACAAGTTAGTACGTTTTCAGCAAGTCAGGACCGAAAAAGAAAAAAAAAATTATTTAAGTGAGCTTATTAATTTACCAAGCTCCTCAGTGTTCTGGTCACGTTCCATTCAGCAAGAATTATTCTTTAAGATCTCGTTTAGTTGACAAGATAAGATTAATCGATATAAAATTAAATAATCTAATGAAAACCAATTTGTTTTTTCAGGCCACAGGACGTCCAACAAAAAAGCTCTCTAACATAGAAGATGCATAATATTTCCAGGTCGACCCTTTAAGTTATTGGATTAACAAAATTTAAACAAAATACAATTATTTAGTTTATAATGCCTGATCTCCCTAATAGCCCAACCAAACGAGGCCTTACCATACAAAATTCCCCAAAAAAAGTTGAACAATAAAAAAAGCAGCAGGACAATGAAAACTACAAAGCCAATCCCCAACATCTCCCCCAGCATAATCAGCCAGAGCTAAATTTGCATATAGCAATCATTTTTTACAAGTCTACAGCAAATTCTGTTAAAGTCGTAACGAAGTTATATTCGCGGGTATCTTGTAGCTATGAGATTAACGAGAAATTAAAAAAAGAAAAAAAAAATGTGCCAATAAAATTGCAAATATTAGCACACGCCTGTACGAAAGGCAATTAAATCAACTCCACACATTTTCACCATCGCACACGAAATTCTTTATTTTTCACCGAGGTCTATACAGACTGAGCCCATATTGCACAGCCGTTTCGTATTTCCTCAATTGAGTGACCTTATAATATGGACAAAAATATAAGCCCTCTAAACCACAATTAAATAACCCCCAAAGTACAGAATGTACATTTCATATATAAAACTTTTTCAGTCTTGGATATACTGTAATCAAAATTTAGTACAATGGGGGGTGAACCCCCCTTGAATCTTGATTCCGGGAAATTCTTGCTTTCAAGGGAAGAACTACGGTATCTGGAAAAAAGAAAAAAAGGAAAAAAAAAACCCACCCTATTTAGCATTGGAAGGAAGAAGGCATAGTCGTTTCTTGTAGAAAGAGATATTTAAAATACAGCTATAGATACAAGACTTAGACAATCAATACAGTATATCGCTCTTGCAACAATAATATGGATTTCCCGAATAAGTAAAAGCGTGAGTTCATCAAGAAAAACCTATATTGTTAACGGAAAAAATGAATAGAGTTTCTTCGACATTTTTTCCTTTTTTTTTTTGATTCCATTCTTCGACATTTTTTCATTACACCAATATATTCATAAGGGGTAAACAAGTAAAAAAATTATTGTCCATTCGAATCGTAAACAAATAACCTTTTTTTTCACTATTTTAATTTTTATATTCTTCTGATGCCATTCCACTTCGATTCCAACATTTAATTATTATAATTAACAGCATAAATCTTAATGGAAAAGAAAGTTCTTCAAGCATAATGAACCAAAGACTTTAATGCAACAGCAACGATGCAAAAGGGTCAACTTACGTTATAACAAAGCACTCTTTTTCCATCACTTTTAGAATTCTTTAGCTGGATGTGCACCGGAATTCTACCAAAAGCCTGCATAAGCTTATGAATTAAGTAAAATCATCTAGAAACAAAAGATATCACTAAATCGCATGAATGAAATCATCTAGATACATAAATAACACGGAATAAATCCCACAAAAAGAAGTACGTTGGGGGATTATATAAGTTGGCGAGAGATGGATTCAGACCTGAGCACGCCCTGAAATCTTTAAAGCTTTAATCACCTTATTCGCATATTACTAAGAAAGTCGGAGAGCCTGAAAGTATCATTATCGACACGTAGAACGAATAAGTCAAAATGGAGGAAATTGGTGAAACTATAGAGACAACATAGCAAAGCAATATCAAGAAACTTAGCAAAAAAAAGGACAAACCTAATATCTTTGGCAATAACTGTATTTCCATCTTCAGCTCCAAGATGGCGAATAACCACTTCCTCGTGCCGACCATCACCATACATGTGCTGTAAAATAGAGTATATTAATTAATATTTGTTTCAATCTCTTCATTAAATAATAGATGCATATGCGGAAGAAGCACCAAGTGGAAAAAAAATCAGCTTAATGTTTCCAAAATTCATGGAAGTCATACACTAGTAACAAAGAAAATTGTTATCTACCATCTAAACGACAAAAATGCATGTACTACGTCAGCTTTCTTGTATTACGTACCCACATAAATAGTAAATTTTTACAACCTGAAAACCGCATCAGTATCTGCAGTTTGATATCTCAATTAACAACTTGAGTTTCAATATATCAACAAAAAAAATTGTTGATTCAACTACCTAATGTATTCTCTGGTGTCGACTGTAGTGAAGGCAATAGTAACACACCAAACACATTATTGTGCTCACACCCTCAACTAAATGAAACTATTGTTGAAGAATGTGATGACAACAAACAAACTTAGAGCACACATCACTCTTTTAACTCCCATTTAATGTATAGTAATCGCTACTGAGACATTTGAGACTCTGGACCCACTTTACATTGACTACATTTCCAATTCCGATAATAACGGAGGCAATCCAATTTAATATCCGGACTCCTGTGATCAACTCCAACATTTAA